TTGAATGTATATATTATTTTACTTTTACCATGTTTTGATATTATGTTGTTTATCTTGTCGCCCAGAGTGGCCTGGTTGCCAGATGGTGCGGGGAATAAATCTATAGAAGAAGTGCATGAATTACTGAAAGTTCTTGAACTGTGTACAGTGGTGCCTCGCATTACGATGTTAATTCGTTCCAGCAAAATCGCTGTAGAACGAAAACATCGTAAAGCGAAATTAAAAAGCCTATAGAAACGCATTAAAACCCGATTAATGTGTTCCTGTGGGCTTGAAACTCACCGTCCAGCGAAGATCCTCCATAGCGCGGCCATTTTCGCTGCCCATGCAGCGAGGAATCCGTCCCAGAAAACAGCGGGTGACCATTTTTTTACCCGGCGGCCATTTTGAAACCACCGATCAGCTGTGCGAAAATCGTCGTTTTGCGATAATCGGTTAGCGAAGCAGGGTACCGATCATCGCAAAGCAAAAAAAAAAAAGAGAGGAAACATCATTTTGCGATCGCTTTTGCGATTGCAAAAAATTCGTTATGCGATTTCGTCGTTAAACGAAGCGCTCGTCTTGCGAGTCACCGCTGTAGTTTCATTGCACTGAAAAATAGGACAGCTCATGAATTCTGATCAGGCATCCCTGTAAGCATCATGAATGTTGATCCAATAGTATTTTCATTAGATACATTTTAGTTGTTTGTCTAATGCAATTTTTAAATGAGTCTATAAAGACTCTAAGAACTGTTTTGTTGGATGAGACCACACATATGTGTAATACATAATTCTGTCCCTAACAGTAGTCAGTAGGTTGGGAAGCTCATAAGGGATGGACTGGGATTTGTCCCACTAAGTTGCAGTAAGATATTTCTATAAAGATCTTGTTCTTAAAGATAATAGTGAATTTTGACTTACAAGGCCATCCTCCATAAATTTGTGTATTATTTTGGGGAAAAAATAGTGAAGAACCAGGTCAGTTTGTATTACTGTTTCTCACCCTGCTTTACTAACACGCCTTTCATTGAAATGTGAAGGTACTTGGATACATTCTGTTCTGGGGTCAGATCTGGTATTGGGACAGGAACAGCCTTGATCTCTTTTGGTTTACCAAATGTCATGTCTCTTCTGTTCTGGGCACTTTAGTTACTCTTGGGCACAAAGTTTCCCTTAGGCACAGAGTTACTCATACAACTACTAAGACTCTGGAGAGCTACTTAACGAAGGAGAAGCAGAGGTAAGGTTATTTAGTACCTTTGCCTGAATACAGACTAAAAAATGTCTTCACTTCCCTGACATTGCAGGGAGAAAGAATAATACTAGCTTTGCAAGATTGTTTCTATGTCTGTATTGGGACAAGAGCTATTTAACATGTTCATAAATGACTTGATGTTAGAGGTAAACAATTAGTTAAGTTTCCAGATTACTCTAGATTGTTTAGGATGGAGAAAGCGCCAACAAATTCTCTGCCCAAGTGGCACCATGAGAAGCAGTAGTAAAATGGATTGACTATAAGTGAGAAATGCCTACTGGGAAAACCCCACACAACCACCTTTATGCATTGATGAGCTCAAGATGATGCATGGCGACTAATCAGGAATGGTGAGAATTTACCAGGAAGGAAATCTGGAGTCCTTCTGAGGAAACTTCATAATATTTGGAGGTTTTTCGCAGAGATAAGGCTTTTTAAAAGTATGCACTGTATTGAAAAATATATGTCTACATATTTGTAATGCTCTTCTATAATTTTAGAATTTGGGATTATCCAATGACATTTATCAGCAGTAGACAAAAAACCCTTCTTTGCACAGCTCTTAATTAATCAACTTTTTACTTTATCAGAAGAATAAAGGTGACAACTGTTGGGAAAAGGATTATGTGGCTGAATCTTCAGTCCAATCCTGTAGGGCTGGTTTCTGTGTTCTTAAAAAGTATGGAAAATGTGATGGGACTAGGAGTACACACACAATTCTGCTCCTGGGATAAAATAAACTTGGGGAAACGAGAATGATATCTGACAATTAGACATTTTCTCTGAAAAAGATACATACCTGGGTAGGGATCATACAGTATGATCCTCTGAATGTTGTTGAACTACAGCTCACATCAGCAGAGGACCCCATAACAGCTACAGAGGGAAGATGGTAGTTGCAGTTCAGCCTTAGCAAAATATCCACCGAATCTTTCCCTTACATTAATCTCTTTTCCAGAGAGCCATAGCAATAACACAATGCTTCATAAAAGACAGAAGAGAAAACAACTCATGCTTGTCTTAATAACCTGTATCTGTTGTTTAGTCTGTTTTTACAAGCTGGAAGTGATTAACACTCAGGAGAAAGTTAATAACAAAAAGGCAACAGTGAATTGAAGCTATATTTGAATTACAGCTATATTTGAAAGTGAAGATAAGCAATCAAAGAAAAATCATTATTCATTGTTGTTTAAGTACTGTGAAGGTGAGCTTGTTTACAGCCTTAAAATGAGGTTTCTGTTCATTTTCCAATAAGGGACTGATAAGCACTCATTCAACAATTCCTTCCTGCCACAATTTTTTAAAGTAAAAGTGATTAGATAGCAGAGGGGAATTATTTTGTAAAATAGGGCTTTGTTGCACCTAGAAGAAGAACACTTTCTACTGTCAGGCAGTTGCTCTCAATTTTTTTCCCCAAGAGTCAGTCGTTTTATACTGGATTTAAACCCTTACCAGGACAAGAGGCTTCTGTGCCCATGCTACTCTGGCAATGTTGTAACATTAGTCCAGGGGTCAGGGAACTTTTTTACCTTTTACACACACACACCCAAAAAATTTATATATGCCGACATTATCCCCTTGATTCGAAAGGAAGGAAATCATACATTATTTGAATTAAAAATATTATTGAATCTACACAGGCTGT